TCGTTTGATGCAATATAGCTATCGAGACATTTTTTCCACTGCTCAAAACAGGTTTTGAACTTGTCAATTTTGATGCCGTTTAGTGCTTCTGCCGTTTTTTGTTTCACCTCCTCCACGTTGGCAAAACATTTCCCTTTGAGGACTTTTTTCATCCGGGAAAACAAGAAAAAGTCACACGGGGCGAGATCGGGTGAATAGGGAGGGTGGGGCACAAGGGTCATGCTGTTTTTGGTCCAAAACTGCTGAACACTCAGCACGGTGTGTGCAGGTGCATTGTCACGGTGGAAGAACCAGTCACCTGTTTGCCACCAATCGGGACGTTTCTTCCGCAAATCGTGATGCAACCTTCTCAAAACTTCCAGATAAAAACTTTGGTTGACCGTTTCACCCAGAGGAAAAAAGTCCAAGTGCACAATCCTTCTCACATCAAAGAAACAGATGATCATTGTTTTCACATTCAACTTCACTTGTGCTTTTTTGAGTTGTGGGGATGTGGCAGTTTTCCATTGGCTGGATTGCTGTTTCGTTTCGGGGTCGTAGGTGCAGCACCAAGATTTATCTCCAGTTATGACTTCTGAAAAAAAATCAGGGTCAGCCTCCAACTGCTCCTTCAAAGCACGGCACGCAGTCAGGCGATTGTCTCTTTGTTCAGGGGTGAGCAAGCGAGGCACGAATCACCCATCACAAAATAGGCAAATGCGTTTGAAAGAGTCTCTAAACAAAACACTCACTGAAGCCAAACAGCCTCTCACAACAACCCAGCTGGTACACTGATGCAGATGGGTTCCTAGGACACTCACCTAGCGGGGAAAGCCTGTACTACAAGGGCCCCGCCCTCCAGAAGATAATTCTGGGGGTTTTTTTTGGTCCCCCCTCGTATATTCTCTTACTCTGAATTTTCTTCCCACTCATTTCAGAGAATGAGTATTAGAGGGTTTTTTTTAGTCATGTGCCATATAGCACCAAGTTATTGCAAACTTTTCATGAGGTTCCCAATGACTATTATATTAAAATGTATATAGGAATGGTCATATAATTTGCCTTATAAATCAGTAAAGTACAAACACCTTATTTATTCTTATCCAACAAAACTATTAATTTTAGTCATTGTGAAATTCAAGGACAAGTTATATTGAAATGAAAAATGTTTACAATATAAGCAATTACCACACTGTTCTGTCAATGTAACTGGAATTAATTATTTAACTATAAATAAGAATATTTGCCTGCCATAATAGAGTGACAATTACAGTCCACAATAAATCTCTATCACTTTTATATCACAGAATTGCTCAACTATGTTTTAGGTTGTTAAGCTATAATTCAGAAAGTGTTTTTAGGCCATAATAGAAAGAGATGAACCTACAGCATATACTATAAGTCTACAATTGTACAGATTCTTAAACCATGTCCTCTAGAAAATGAAAAGAGAAGCAAATTATCATTACAAAAATATAAACAAATGAACATATTTGTAAGAAGCTTGGCTTAAAAATTGTATTTTTCTAAGTATTTAAAAGTAAGATAATAATTATCACACACAAGGAGAAGGAAATTCTGGGTTTATTTCAAATATAATTGATGTGTATGATAGACTGAAACTTTGATTTGTATTGCCTAATGCTTAATTTTAATTAGATGCTAACAATATCTGTTTGACATTTATAATGGCAGCGTAAACACTGTGAAAATATCACAAAGTAATCTTTAAGTTTTAGAACATCCCATCTCTCTAGCTTCCAGGTATTGCTATGCCACAACTCTTTGTTATCCTTAATAATTGGTTACACTCTCTGGGGTGCTAGGAATTATGGTTCAGTAATGTCTGGATAGCCACAAGTTCCTCATTCTTGCTTTAGTACATACTCATAATGTCCATAATTCAGACTACAAAACGACCTAGACTTTGTCTAGATTTCCTGGACTGTACACCTTCACAATGCAGGTAATGGAAATGACATGTCTAAATGCTTCCCATTAAAATGTACAGGAAAACAAAATGTGAGAAAAGAAGGGACTTTCAAGCCTTTTCCCAGATTGTATCCTAAAGTTGCTAGATCTAAGGATATGAATGGGAAGATGGGGGAGGGGGGACATTCAGCCATTCAACTGTTCATCTTCTTCAGCCTAAATCAAAAGTCCTTGACCAGCTTCATGAGTGACTAATGCTTGAATGTTTAGCCCACTTACAAGGCAATCTGTCAAAATCTTTGATTCAGTGAGTCAATTCTACTGTTTAAATGGGGTGGGATGGGGAATTTTGCTAACTTTACTTTAGTCAGTTCTTTGTGTTTCCTGGCATCTGTTCCAGAGGTTTGGGACCTTCCACAACAGTGGAGGTGCTAATGCTGGGAATTTGAGAAGAGGGGAAATGAAAACAATTGCTCCATCTGCAAATAGGAACAGTGTGACTGGAATTCTCACTCTATGAAATGGACAATCAGAGTAAAAGAGTAAATCTTAATGTTAAAGACCCATCCCTCAAGTGCTCACTCTACTACCTAATGCCTGCTATAATCTATGATACTGTTATTATTTATATCTGTGTCTGACAGTTATCTCTCAGTTAAGTCTCTTCTGCACAAATTGTCAATTACTCATTATTGAACAACAGCTCTGAAGTTCACAGCTATGCTGCTATTGTCCAAAATTTCAGCTATGGATTGAAAAAGAGACAAGAAAAGTAAAATACAACTTTTGTTTCTTAAATATAGTGCTGACAGACCATCATAGAACAGTCATATCTATCTTAGGAATACATATTGATAAAAAGTTGTAAAATGCAAATGGAATGGATCTTCTTTGTATCAGGACGCAGCTGATGAAAAGCAATGACTGGGTGCAGATCTTATGGGTTAAATACAGTATTGTAAGGTAACTAAGGGCTAGAGAAACAGTTTCATATTCAGCTCTTATGGGCAAAACAGTTAGGAAGATAAATTTGTAAGACAGATATACAGGATTCTACAAGAAACATTAGAGGTCATGAGCCAATCACATTTATTATCCTTTCTCCTGCTTGCTCTAAAAAGTTTCCAAGACAATTTCAATCACATAAAGTGATGAAAAAAAAATACAAATCAATCTCTCTCTCCCTCCCTCCCTCCTTCCCTCTCATGCCATCTTACATAACCAGATTATTAAAACTAGGCACCCTTACAAAGGCACTGGAATATTATTTCTACCTAAAATGGCAACAAAGAAAAAGCCAGCCCAAACACTTGACAGACAGTTCCAGAATCTTAGTAGACCTTGTTCTATATATCCACCAAGCATATTTCTGTCCGTAGTTGAACACAGAGCAAGACTTCCTCCAAAGTCTTAGCGGCAGACCAGGATCAGGTTGGAAGATAGGGCTGTACACACTTCACAAATGATTTAGAAGAGATATTTGGAACATGTAGGATCACAACTGCAGCACCTCTTCAAAGCACTCTATGTCTGTTTTCAGGCATGTGTGGAAGCCTACAGAAACGAGCCTTGTCTTTTAATGTGACTCCTTAAAGCAGTCGTATATCTTTTTTAGGCTCATGTAGAAGCCTGTAGCTGCTTTAAAGAGGTGTTGTACTTACTGTATGCTACTGTGCATTCTGAGGTACCTCTTTCAAATTATTTTTTTGAAACATGGAATGAAGTCTTAAAAAATAATAATTAATGGAATGGTGGCATATAACATACCTGATTTCCAAGATGGCGGCCAGGAACAAGCACCAGCCAACATGCTAGGTTAAGGCAAGGAGTGCTTGTCCTGAGAGCTTACCTGAGTGCCCTAGAAGCTCTTAAGGCTGGTTTGTGGGCTTTGGGGGTGCCCTGGTGCCATATACCTGGTGAAGCTCAGAGGGGGCCAGTGTGGCCGGGTGGAGCTTTGCAGCTGTGCTGGGCGGTGCAGTGCAGCAAGCGGCAGCTGTGTCAGCGGTGCAGAGTGGTGGGCAGCGAGTGGCAAGGTTCCTGGGAGAGGAAGAAGTTTGTGGCCCAGACTTTGTTCCCATATGCCTGGAGGTCAGTGGAGCTCAGCCGTGGGTGGTTGGAGCTCAATGAGGGGCCGGACAGAGCTCCGTGGTTATGCTGGGCGGCACAGTGACTGAGCAGCTGGAGCGGCTGGAGAAGAGACCTGGGCTGCAGCGGCCTGGAATATGGCTGAGCTTGATGTTGGGCCAGTCTGCGGGCCTGAAAATTGGCTGGACTGATGGCATAGGCCCAAGGCCAGGGCATCTATTGGACAACCGGCTTGGAAGCTGGTGGCCGAACAGCGGCTGCAGCCTGAGGAGGCCCGAAGGATTTGAAGACCGGCTGGTTCGATCCCAGGCAGGGGGTTGGGGGCCCTCCAGTGAGTGACAGTTGGGTCTCCCTCCTTATTGTGAGAGACAGGGAGGGGAATCTGAGGATGTTTCTTGAGTTTGTGGGTAAGTGTGTGTGAGTGAAGATACTCATCCCCGAGTGAGAGATGGGGTGACGGGGGATGGACTGGGTGCCCCTACCGGCCAATGAGAGAAGCCAGTGAAGGGGGTGCAGTGGGTGATGGACAGGATTCCCTCAGCACTGAGAGCAGGAGCTGAAGTGCCAGGGAGCCCACCCACCCCGATTGTGTGTTACTGGATGATAGGATGGAAGGTCCCCTACCTATGTAGCTGGAGGTCTGGGACCGGGTGGAATTGGGGGGGTTATAGCATTCAGCTGGTGATGGGGAGTGGATGTTATGATGGGAATCAGAGGGTGGGCCGCTGTCAGGAAGACGCCCCCTGTGTTTGGTACCGATGGCATGTTCCAGCCCTCTGGACTCAGACCCAGGCCCTGGACAGCAGACCCATAGAGGCCCTGGCTTTCGGCTGCTGCTTCTTAACACCAGGTTAACAAGCCCCCCCCTTTTATATGTGATCTGATCACTGAGGAACAGGATGACCTGGTGTGTATCACTGAGACCTGGCTGGGCCCTGAAGGAGAGGTGCCCCTTTTGGAAATGTGCCCAGACGGGTTCATGGTCTGGCACCAGCTGAGACCCCAGGGCAGGGGAGGAGAGGTAGTGGTTGTCATCCAGGAATCTCTGTTGGCCTTCAGGGGGGCTGCTCCACAAGTGGCTGGTTGTGAGACCCTGTTCCTGAAGCTGGGTTCACAAGAACAGTTGGGACTATTGTTACTGTACCAGGTTCCCTGCTGCATAGCAACCTCCTTACCTGAGCTGCTGGAGGCCATCGCAGGGCTGGCAGTGGAATTCCCCAGACTTAAGGTCTTGAGAGACTTCAATCTGCCATCCCTAGGGCGTGCCTCAGAGGTGGTTCGGGAGTTCATGGCCACCATGGTGGCCATGGCCCTGTCCCAGATTATTTGTGACCTGATTCGGGACAGCCGCCTCACACCAGACTTGGTTTTCTTGTCAGAGCAGTGGCAATGGGATCTGAAGGACAAATTACATCTGCCCCCTTTGTCACGGTCAGATCATGCCCTGGTGGCCCTGAGATTCTACTATGCTTCCCCCCTCCACAGAGAGGTGGGACCTATTCAACTGGTCCGTCCATGGTGACTGATGGACCCAATTGGGTTCCAAAGGGAGCTGGGGGTTATACCCAAGGGTCTGCTGCATGGTCCAGCAGAGGCCTTGGCCACTACCTGGAATAGGAAAGCAGCTGAGGCCTTGGACAAGATCACCCCCGTGCAGCCTCTCTTAACCCATCAAGCCCAATACTCCCCGTGGTTTAAGGAGGTGTTGTGGACCTTGAAAATGATTAAGAGATGCCTAGAGCGCTGCTGGAGGAAAACAAGGACAGAACATGACTGAACACAAGCTAGAGCTGGTATTAAGGCCTACCTTGTGGCAGTAAGAGCAATGAAACATCAATATTTCTCTGCTCTTATCACATCCGCAGAATGCTGCCCAGCAGTCCTGTTTAAGATCACCCGGTCCCTTTTGGGAAAGGGGGGGCCCAGTGGCCCATTTACAGGGCCATACAGAGGAGTTTTCTGGGTATCTGAAAGATAAAATTTTTCGCATTCGGTCCCAGTTGGATGTCAAAGTGTGGGGCATGGTCTGTAGAAATGCCCAGGGTATGGACTTACCCTGTTATCTGGGAATGGTTTGATCGTGTTGAACCCGAGGAAGTGGACAGGATCCTCTGGGCGGTCAATGCCACCACCCGTCAACTAGATCCATGCCTCTCCTGGCTGGTTAAGGCTACTCAGGAAGTGACATGTGGGTGGGTCCAGGCGATGGTGAATTCATCCTTGAGGGAGGGAGTGTTCCCAGCTGCCTTTAAAGAAACACTGTTGCATCCCCTCCTCAAGAAACCATCACTGGATCCCACCATATTGGACAATTTATATCCAGTCTCCCACCTCCCCTTTTTAGGGAAGGTGGTTGAGAAGGTGGTGGTGTTGCAGCTGCAGAGGATCCTGGAGGAAACGGATTATCTGGATCTTTTTCAGTCAGGGTTCAGGCCCGGATTTGGGACAGAAATGGCATTGGTTGCACTCATGGATGATATCTGGCGGAAGTGGGATGGGGGTAGTACATCCATCCTTGCTCTTCTTGACCTCTCAGCAACTTTCAATACCATTGACCATTTGGATTGACTTGGGAAGTTGGGAATGGGTGGCACAGTTTTGTGCTGGTTATCTTCCTCCAAGGTTGATCCCAATTGATGTTGACTGGGAGTGAGAGGCTCAACCCATAGCCCCTCCATTGTGGGATGCCACAGGGTTTGGTACTCTCTCCGCTCCTCTGTAACATCTATATGAAACCACGGGGTGAGATCATCCATCACCATGGGAGGAGGTATCATCAATATGCAGATGATACCCAGTTATACATCTCCATCCTGGGTGACTTGAGTGATGCCGTGACCACTCTTTCATGGTGCTTGGAGACTGTGGGGGTCTGGATGGGGTGCAACAGGCTTCAGCTGAACCCTAGTAACACAGAGTGGCTGTGGATTGGAGGACCCTCTGTATTCAGGAATTTACCATCTTTGGTTTTGGATGAGGTTACATTGCCCCAGACAGACCTAGTGCGTAATCTGGGGGTCTTCCTGGACTCACGACTCCTGCTCGAGGAGCAGGTGGCAGCTGTGGCGAAGAGGGGCCTT